AAAAAAAAGAGAAAGAGAGAAGAGAACGAAAGAAGACAAGAGAAAAAGCCTTCAAAAGATGAAACAAAATTGTTGTAAAATGGTGTGAAATTTTATCACTCTTATTTGATTCAAGTGATCAACATCTCATTCTATAAAATGAAGAAAAAAAAGAAAAGAAAAGTCAAAAAGATTGCTTCATCAATCTAGCAGCAGCAGCAGTAGTAACAAATAAAAAAAAAGAAGAAAAAGTTAGGAAAGAGTTTTATGATTATATATGTAATTTGTAAATTTCAAAGAGATCAAGATAGAAATATTACATCGATGAAACGTGCTCATATCTAAAGGAAATAACAAAACTATCATTTCCGAAGTGATATGTGCGCGTGTATGATTGATTTGATTTACTCCTTGGCGGCAAACGTACGTGTGAGATTAATAAGGCAAATAAATAAAAAAATAAAATAAAATAAAATAGACAAAAAAAAATTATATATGTGTGAATCCTCTAATTCATTTTCGTCACGGATCGACACTCATCGCGTTCGTTTGATCAAGAAAAAGATGCTAATTGTTATGGTTGAGATTATCCAAAAATATTAAAAAAAAAAAGAAAGATTTCTTAGTACTAGTAAAATTAAAATCATCTACTCTCTTGGATATACTTGAACGAAGTGGTCTCTCACTGTTATCAATAATATCATTACTTTCAGATTAGCTTTCACGCATGCTTATAACTTAAGAAAAAAAAAAGGACACTTGCCGCTGCTTGTCACTAATTCGATGTGTACATATGCATACACTCGATATGCCCTTCTTTTTTTTTTCTTTCGGTTTGTTCGTTTCTTCATTTTTATTTTTTTTATCGATAGATGGATGGATTTTCATTGGATAATAATTTTCATTGGTTGCTACTGCTCTACCGATTGGTTTTTTTTTCTTTTCAGAACAAACCGGGAGCGAGCTTGACTACTCATATTCATCATGATATATCTCTATATATTTACTGTATGGAGGGAAAGAGAGAGAGAAAAGAAAAAGAAAAAAAAAAATCCATTATCATGATTTCGAAGGTACTTTTTGTAATCTTTGATATCCAAATAGCATAGAAACACATACCTTTTTTTTTCTTTCTTCATACATCAACTATAAATCTTTTCTTCTAACTGAAAACATACTCGGTAGGTTTATATATGTATATAAACAGAGATATGACATCAACAAGTCGAAGCAAATAGCATCTCAGTTATAAAAAAAAACACACGCTACTTGCGATGAGAGCCCTAATTGTGTCTCCATTTATGGCATACTCTCTCGATAGATTGTCCCAGAAAATTTTATGATCATTTCAGAAGCAACGAAATATTTCATTTATTGAATATCAGAAAACAATAAGTAAATTTAGTTCGTTTGTCTTTTTTTTTTTTACACATATAGATACGAGTTTCTTTTGTGCATGTCGCCTGTATTCATTGCAAATCCAAATAAGATGTGTCCTCCAATAGATTCTTCATCTATGCCGGCCATCTCATTAAATAATACACAAATTCGAACTTTAATTAATATTTATCCACCTACTCCAACTTTAATGCCATCTGTAATTTCACAAAATTTTACAATGAATCCAATAGATTTACGTAAATATACTTCATCAACAGTTACAGCTCAAGCTTTATATCAATTTTATTTTCCTCATTTATTTTCTCTTCAAAATCAACAACAAACACATGAAATAAATGATCATGGAATAAAACAAACGAATATTTCGGATGGTAAGTTCTTTTTTTTTGATTTGTTCATCGAATTTTTGTTTTTTTTTTTGTATTTTTATTTAAAGAATTATCATCAGTACAAAAACGAAAATCAAATATTCCACAAAAACGTTTCGATTTTGCTAAATTAGCTGATGAAGCTATTAAAGATAAAGAAGAAATATCTAATTCTTCAACATCATTGGATGCCAGTAGTAACAAAATTGATTTATCCTTATCATCAATAACATCTTCTCAACCAGCACCAGCTGCTATCACTAGTGGTGTTTCATTACTTACCTCTAATACTACTCTGTAAGTATTGTATATGTCTTTGTTTATTTATTTGTTTGGACTTCTGGGGCAAAGATTAGTCGAGTTGTTGTCATCATGATCATCATCACACTAGTGTGTGAGAGAAAGAAGTGGAGAAGGAGGAGAAGAAGATGATGATGGTTATCGGATAATTGAGACTATCGAGATAAGATGAGGACCGAATGCCTGACGCCTGTATTCACTTTCTCTTGATAATTAGAAGAAAATAGACAAAGAAAACAAATAAAACATTATTTTTTAATAGATTTCTTCGCAAGAAAAAAAACATCAAGTAGATATTTCAAGAATTTCATAGCTTTAAGTGTTTAAATTTCTCTCTATCACTACTCTTCATATTCATTTCTATCTATAGAAAGTAAATAAATAAAATCTGAAAATTTACACTTCCCTCAAAAAAAAAAAAAAAATTAATATTTAGTAAACGTTCTCATTCTTCAACTCATTCGGCATTTCATCCAGTACTTATTACAAATAGAAATACTTTAAATAAATTATCACGACATTCATATCCATCAAATAATACTAATAAACATAACAATATTAATGGTATTAAACGGTAAGCTAATTGTTTTATTTGATTGTTTTTTTTTTCAACATATTATTTCTAAAATAAGTATAATTGTAGAAAAAAACGAGCTAAAGAACATATATGTCAATATTGTAATCGTCATTTTACAAAATCATATAATTTATTAATTCATGTTCGAACACATACAGATGAACGACCTTATATATGTGACTTATGTTTTAAAGCATTTCGACGACAAGATCATTTGAGAGATCATAAGTAAGTTATTATTTAATAATAAATCTTTATTTTTTTGCTTTTTATAAATGATTTTTTTTTTTTGTTATAGATATACTCATTCAAAAGGTAAATAGATAAAGAATAGGATAAAAATTTTAAATTTTTATTTCATAGAAAAACCATTTAAATGTCATGATTGTGGTAAAGGTTTTTGTCAGTCACGAACACTTGCTATGCATAAAGCGACTCATCAACAACCGCCAATTCATCATGGCCGGTGAACATTTTGTTTTTTTCTTTTGCATTTTTTGTTTTTGTGTTTGTATTTGTATTTCTTGTTTTTGCATCTACCTTCTTTTTTGTCTATGCTCTGTAATTAAATAAAAAGAAAAATTCATGTTTTAATAAATGATAAAATGAACTTCCTATTCTGTTGGTTAATATGTACAGACGATACACAGTGCTAGAAATTTGTGTGATTATACTTTTGTTACATATATCTTATATTTTCTGTCTTTCTTATAGAAACTGAAGACTGTTTAATTAATAGTATATGATTGGAGAAAAACAAAGACTAATCTGGTTTTTTTTATTCACAACAGAAAGAAGATGCCTATCAGCCTTGTGTCTGTTTTATATTGTTTTTAGTCTTTTACAATTTTATGATTAGCTTCTGGATTTATCAGTTAAATATCATAAAAGAAAGGAAAGTTTCTTATTATTTTACAAAAAAACTCAGAGAAATGTAATACGTATAACAATATAGCTATTATGAATACAAATGAAACAATTATATTAGGTGGACTTAACGATGAAACATCAGTGTCATTATCTTGAGAGTGTGAATATAGATGTTAATCTTCTTTGTATTGATCCATATCCCAACAGTTCAAGAGAGACTATCTAGTTTATCTTTAGTGTATATTATTGAGCCTGATTTTACAATTGATTTCGATACTTCATAAACAATTTTGATGAAAGTGAATAATTCGTGCTCATCTTTTCTCTGCCATTCAATATATCATCAGTAATAAACGTCAAAGAAACAAAAAAACCAATGTCTTGTATAATTTTTTTGACCTATTCGTATATATTCATTTAATAAATAGTATTCATTCACTACACAATTGGAAACATTCATCAGTTCTATTTTATTTAATCAGTCGTAATCTGATCAACAGTGTCTGAATATAGCCTCCATAGTGATGAGTGAAACCAATCGTTTTTTGGTTTCGGGACCATCTTGCCCATATCTACTCTCTCCTGAATTTCAACTATCGTGGGTTACAGCTGTATATAGGATTGTCTTTGAAGAATATGACAAAAACAAGAAACAAAAAAGATAATTTCATTTGTTTGTCACACTTACTATTGTGTATGACTACTATTCATCTATTGAATAAGTATGATGACATCTAATAGAAATAGATAAACATCTTTAGAAATATTAAGCTGGTTATTATTTGTCACAAATAAAGTATAAATAGACGACAGAAAAGAATCGAATAATTTTCGATATTTACAATCATGCCTCCTTATTTTGATAATGCAGATTCAGTTACGTTAGTATAGATTTTTTTTTGTTATTCTATATATTTAATTTAAAATCTTGTTTCGATAGGTTTCGAAAACGCGAAAAACTTGTTGCTCTACTAGGTCGAACTGATACGGGAAAAACAAGTACATTTAATTTAATGACAGGTCTTTCTCAACCAATCGGTAATCGAATATCAAGTACAACACATCAATGTTATTCTTATTCAAATTTTATTGATACACCTGGTTTTGGTGATACTCGTGATAGTGAAGCATCTCATCTGTCTTTAATAGATTTTTTTATTTCACTATCATCTGGTATTGATATTCTACTTTATTTTGTTCGATATGGAGCAATGAATTCAACTGATCTTGATTTATTTGTTGATATATATAAACGAATATTATCTATTGAAGCTTATTCAAATTCTTGTCTTGTTATAACTGATTATTCATTACCAAATCTTGAACAAGTAAATATTAATGAACATGAAGAAAGAAAATATCTTCTTAAACAATTACATGATAATAATAAATATTCATATATATTAGATAAATTTGATAATCGAGTTATATTTATTGATATATCACCATATGATTATAAACGACGAGAACTATCAAAAGAAATTATAGAAAAATTTCTTCATTCATTTCAACCAATAAAACGTTTTAATTGTCAAAATCTTCAAGATGCATATCGTCTTCTTCGACGTACACAAGAAATGGAAATACTTTGTTTAGATTTAAAAACTCAAATTGATCAATTAACAACACAAAATCAACATTTAGCACATTTATATGAACAACAAATACGACATTGTAAAGATTTAGAAGAATCATATCAACGTTCAATAAAACAATTAGAACGAATACATGAACAAACTTTATTAACTATTGAAAATAATCATCTAATAACAATTGAAGAAATGAAACGACAAGAATTTCGTATATGTGATGAAGTTAAACAAGTACGACATCAATTAGAAGAAATTGAACATGAAATGGAAAGAAGTTTAACATTTAATGTTTTTTCTTATATTCCACTTATTCATATTGTAACAAATATTATGGAATTAAATACTAAACGACGTATTACACAACGTATTCGAAAAACATTACATTCGAAAAAGAAACTATTATAAATAAAATACAAAATAATTTAATTTGTATGATCATACTAAAAATAAATAAATTATTTTTTTTTGTCTGGAGAATAGTTGTATAGTAGTTTATTATAACTAAGAAAGATTAGCAAAATCTACCAGATACACTGATAAAAATTTTTTCTTAATGTGACATAAAAGTTGGATTATAGATTGGATAATATATATGATAGTCAAATTTTTTAATAAGAATTATCCAACGATTTTGGATATATTACAAGTAAAAATAATCAGGTATTCATTTAAGATTGAATATAAAGAGTTTATTAATTGATTCGTATGACAAACAAGATTGAGATACTTTAAAAAAGAATCTCCCTGTATCTGATAGTTACTATATTAAAATATATATTTGTCGTTGTATTCTCTTGTGCTATTCGATTTCTTTTGTATGCTGGAAATATTATTTATCACTTATTTTAAAGTGAACGAGTATGTATTATAACTCAAAAACATTCAATATATTGTAGTCAAATTTAAGGTCTTACTGACAAACTAGCAAATTTAAAATATGAGTTGCTTATGATCTGCACGAACTGATGAAAGAAGTCCGCCAACTGACAAATCACTTTTGGGTCGAGACTAGGCGCATTATGTAGATCCAAATGAACTATGAATACTCTGAAAAAAGTCCGTATCTTTAGCTTATTGCTGTGAAATATTGCACTTTTACAGTATTTTTTAAATGAATATTATGGTCCGCCTCAGGAATAAGAGAAAAACTAATTTTCAGATTTCGACTTGGAACTTTGAACAGAGACAGATCTTAATGAGAATGGGTTTTTTGTTTTTATAAATGTTTCAGATCTTGTCGCTATTCCTATACGACAAGATCTGAAACGTTGACAAAAACCCTATTCTCGTTAAAGCCTGTTTCTATGCAAAGTTTCAAGTCGAAATTCGAAAATCAGTTTGTTTCTAGTGTTCCTAATGGGAACCATGGTATTTATTTAAGATATATCGTCAAAGTGCACGAACTCTTTGCAAAGTATTTATAGTTCATTTGATCCTATTTAATACATATAGAGTCGACTCAAAAGCGATTTATCAATTGGAGAACTTCCTTCATGAGATATTCGGATTTCAAAATATTTACAATGGATGTTATGTGGCAGCAATTCAAAATCTCAGTAGGCTTTATTTTTCTCTTTTTGTTATAATTGTATTGAGCTTGTCAAGTTACATAATGGAAGTGGACTGAAAGTTTTTTTGGCAAAAATTTGAAAGCATTCTGCTTGAATGAGAATTTCCTGCTTTTTTTCAAATATAGATTTGCAGTTGTTGTGAAACTTATAGATTAGAAGTTATGAGTAGATCTTTGAAAGATCTGAAAATAACGTTTATATGGACTTCAGTGCATAAGAGAAGAATGACCAGAATAGTAGGAAAACTTTATTTCATATAGACCAAAAGAAAGAGCAAAGATGTCTCTACAAAATGTTATAGTGAATATTAATCTCCTGCAAGACATCTATCAACAATCAGACTTTTGTTAAGTGACGTAGTAATATTTTAATATTTTCTTGATTTCCAGACTTATAAAAAGAGCTTGAGCATCTTTAAGACGAAAATAAGAAAGTGTCAAGAAAAATCGCTGAAAACCATCATGAAATCAATTTCTAACAGGATACAATTGCATTTTTCGTCTCTGGATTTATTAATATAACTGTCTTCGCCTAAGCTTTATTTTCAGGTCTTTCAAAGAATTGTTCGTAAATCTATAAGTTCCACGAGAATTTCGAACCTAGATTCTGAAAGAGCTTAAAATTCTAATTCTAACACTATGTTTTAAAATTCTTATTGGTTCTTTTAATCAATCGAAAAATGAAGAAATATTTTACCGGAAAACTTTCGGTTACCCCTTTAATAAAATATATGCTACGTTAATATTCGAATATATCAGTCCATGGACATCATACACAGCTCATATTTTTTATTTGTTAGTTTGCTGGTAAGACCTATAATTTAATCCGAATATGTTCAATGTTCTTTCGTTATAATACATACTCTTCCATTGTTAGAAGTTTCACCGTTTGTTTGCTGTCGTTTCTTGGTTAATCTATCTATGAGAAAAATATTTCACTTTTAATTCGTATCTAACGTCTTGAATTTTCCAACACAATCTTTTTGTTTTAATAGCAATAACTAAAGTAGAGGAAAAATAATCATATGTTTTATCCATGAGTTTTTCTATACATGAGTCTTACAGAAACTAAAACAATGAATTTTATGCTATATTGAGTAACTCTGTATATTATCAGTGTAATTTGCAATTAAACTATTCTAATATGTGCAAAAATTCTTTAATAATTTAAATTGTTGTTTATTCCTAAAGTAAAAATCTGATTTGATTGTCTACAAGATTATTTTAATACTCAGCTTGGAAACAAGTAGAATGAATTAATTTATTAGAAGTTTTTCTATGAGATTTTTCGTCATAGTCTAAATCAAATTGATACAAGCAATTAGATGATTATTTCATTTTCTTGTTGAAATTCCGAATTCTTCTATTTTGTTCTGATCTTCTTGATAGTATTTTAAATACTTATATATCTATTTAACCATCATTAAAGATGCAGTTCATTCGAAATGTATTTTTTTATTATTGACTATAGATGAATTCTTCTTATTTATTGATAATATTTCACTACGGATTCTTCATTATAGATATAATATATCCATTCAAATTATTGTATGTTTTGATTCTATAAAATACTATTATTTTAATATGAAGTCCAGAATACT